ATATATATATATATATATATATATATATATATATACATATACATACACGTACATTCAAATGTTGCTTTTTCTTCTTTTTTGTTTATGTATATATATGTAGAAGTATGTATTATCGTGTAGGCATCATAACGCGTCGGTGTTATTTTGTTCGTCTTCTCCCCGTCGCGCTTGCGCTCCTGCCGTTGCTATACAACAATCGTAGCGATAATGAGATGATCGAAATAATAATAATAATATAATAATAGTAATAATAATTGTACAATCATAATAACAATCATAATAAGAATCTCGATAATTATCTAATATATATCGCTTGCGCGCGACGTACTCGCTCGCTGTCGCGTTTTGTCTGTATAAAGGACATCACTACTTTGTACGGCGGCTGAACTGGGAAAGTATCGTTTGTTCGTGCATTTCCGATGTCCCAGCTTAAATTCTACTGTGTTAATACCGTCCCGGCAGCGCGAAAACTCGTCTTCAAGCACCGTTTTTTACCATAATACCGTCATTTTAACGTCGCCTACAAGCAAGAATGAAAAGGAGAAAATGCTTTCAGCCGTCTCGTTAACCCGTTAGAAAACGAAAGCCGTTCGCGAAGTACCGACTCCCGACCGGTAAAGACCCCTCCGTGGCGAACGAGCCGAGCCTAAAGCTTCGCGTTTTCGTTATGTCTCACACTAAAATGCGGCGGTAATGCGAGTCAAAGATTGTTGTTGTCTAGACACACGTACCATAAATCAGAGAACTCCACCTCCAACGTGCTCCTCGAACGTCGCGAACTCTTCGTGTTTGTCGTACTTGCCATACGAACACTTGTAATGTAAAATCTAACGGGTTAAACATTTATTTGTTCTCGCAGCTATCCGATCTCGCGCGTCAGGCGCAAGTCATCTTTATTCGCGATTTTGTCCTCGATTCTCCGCGATCTCCTTCCCGCCAAAATGATCCCCGCGAATCCATCGCGCGACGTGTGTCAGTTTTACTTTCATGCGCCTCTTCCCGACTTAGTTAAAACGTTTCTTACGATAGCGCATACGTGTCAACGTGTAAATATACATAAATAATTACATGCGATCCTGTGAGTGAAATAATTGGCGTCTAATTGGCGATACTGTATACTTCTTTCGTTTGCCTTTCTTCGACGCGTAAAAAATCGACCTGAAGGAACGAATGTCGAATTGTCCGGACGATCGTCGGGAGAACCCCGAAGAGAGGACGAGCGCAACCGCGCTCTTCGCGACCGTTGCGTCCGTCAACTTTGAGGCCGAACGTCCGAAGAGCCTGATTCGCGCGATGTCCTCTTTAGCTTTAACGCGACGAATCGCCTTAATTCGTATTTTAGCAGAGTTAAAACAAGACACGGCGGCCGTACTTTGCAAATAAAAAAGTACACTTACATTACGTAGATGACGCTTACTTTGGCCAGTACCCTCGCCGCTATCTGGCGTTGTTATTGGCGTTGAACACGCGGCGAGCATACGACCGTCTCTGTCTCGAATACAAAATGAGATCCACGTGTTTATTGCCTCGTCGACCTCCCGTGAGCGTATACGGTTGAAGGAAGCATATAAGTCGTACCTGACTCCACGTGTGTCTCAAGAACTGCCGAATTTCTTCAAATTCTGCTAATTTATCACGAGATCTTTTGCAACGCTTAATATTAACATCTTATTATAATATAATTTTTCAAAACTTCTCTAGTGCGCGAAAAGCCCTTACAACTCCCGGAATGACGATATACTCTAAAAGTATTTCTTTACACTCTCTTTAAATGTTATATAATTCCAATAAAAAATTTAAAAAATTACTTCGATGTGCAGAGAACTTTTACACTCCCTCAGTTCACCGCGTCACTTTTCTCCTTATGTAAATAAGTTGCTCTCTCCTACAGAGATTGTCGCGGGAGCTACTTGGCGAGAGGATTCCTACCCTCAGACTTCCATGCTGCCTTCAACGTACACCCTACGATGCGCGTCGACCTGCAGGCGCATCGTCGCTCACGTCGCTCGCAGCACGACCGAGATTCGACCTCGAGACAAGCGTCGCGACGATTCGATCGTAAAAAGCGCGGTCACGAGACTCCCCTAAAGATCGAAGGGATCGAAAGGCATCGATCGCTTTCGTTCAGCGACCATCCTCGTCGGGACGAGCCGATCATCCCTTCTCACGGCGATGTCGGGCGCCGTGGCGCCTTGCGAGCCCCTAACTGACAAACAGGACGCGCGCGCCTCCCCTTAACTGCCGTGATCTTGATCCAGCTCGTCCAGTGACTCGAGCCTGGCAATCGGTGCCTCGTTTATCGTGAACTCCCACGACATGTCCTCGCTGGTTTGTCTCGAAGACTCCTGCCGAGCTCCGCTCGCCTGTTGCCCCCCGCCGCCACTTTCTTGCCTGCCACCCTCTGCTGTCCTGGCCTGTTGGCCTGACGTGGACTCGGCGTTGCCGCCGCGATGGTTCGTGGAGTCCTTACGCGAGTCACCGCTGCGCGGACGTTGGGAAGCGGCACGGTCCGTTGAGACCGAAACTACGCAGCTCCAAGGATCCTCGCCCTCCGGCTCCGATCGCTTGTTGAACGAGCTGTATCTGTCGCAAGGGACGCTTTATCAACGCGTAGTAGTGGCGCTCTAAATGTCGGCGTCGAGGGTGGCCGCTAAACGTGGACGGAGATGAAGAGGAAGAGAGAGATCGTCGTCCACGTTTAGCAGCCGGCGCGCAGTGACGCATTTTCTTCACCGGGAAAAAGCATCGAAGATTTCGAAAAGTCGATCGTGATTGTCGCGAGCTCGAGACAGCGGCGAACGTAAATGCGCCACTGCAACATGCGGCAGTGGTGTGGTCCCAATTTTGTGTACGACGCGGATCTCGCGATATCCAATTTGGGACTGATCTCGTCCCAGGTATTTATTTCCCGGAGTAATGCCACACACGACTCTCCTCATCTATCGGACTACCTACCCACTCCTGTATTCACCCCTCCTGAAGGCGGCGGGCTGGCTGTGCCAAGCGTGAGCTTGGTGAGGCTGCGTGCTGGTCGGTACCGCCAGATCGACGGGCTGGCTCTGCGACCTCGTGGGTCCGGTTCTGCCGTTCAACGCCGTCTGCAACGCCGTCGCTAACGCGGACGTGTCCGATGTCACGGTCAACCGGGACGTTCCTGACGTCGTGGAGGTCGGTTCCCGCGTGGGGGGTCTACTACAGAGGGAAGCGGAGCTTGTATCAGCGAATCGACGTGCGATGGACGACCTTTCGAGAAAACCGCTAAAGATAGCTGCGAGATATATACTTGAAGCACGTGGTTATGTACAGTGGGATTCGACAGGCCTCTAATCCTCTAAGTTGGTCCCGAGCAGTGTCACGGGTACCGCGGTGCGGACCGACCGACCGTACGTTCCTTTCGGCTTCCGATCACGCTGGATCACGCTGAGTGAAGGGCGATCCCGCCAATGCGCGATGATTAAGAATTCATCTACTTGAACGTGCGCGAACGACAACAGGTGTATGTATGCGCGAGAGACAACTCATGTCGTAGCTAAAAGAGTAGGCCTCGTCAACGTCGATCGGCTTCGAACCTTCAATCGTCTACTTCTCATCGCGGCAGATGTGGGAAATCAGTCAAGCTGAAGTCAAGATGGATCGACGTTGTTGAAGCCGCAGCTAGAGAAAAAGTAGTAGTTTCCTTCGACAGTTTTGGAAACGAGAAGACTAGTCGAGCAGCGGATGCGCATGTATCGCTTGCGTATATACTGAGGAGAGGTATACGTAAGCGAGTTCGAACGAGAGTAAGAGAGAAAAAGAGATAAGTACGTGCAAATTAGAAGAAGTCGAGCCTACTATTAAAGAGCTTCTTATGAACAAAGAATACGTAAGAGTCAGTCTTACTTCAACGAGATGCTTGCATTTCTAAATACTGGATGGTCTATGTGCTCTCGAAGCGTGCGACGTTAGAGATGACAATACCTACGAGAGAAGAACGTGTCAAAAATACAACACTACGGTTCTAAAAATCATGATGTATCAGCAATGGTGTATCGCCTCTAGGAGGAAATCTACGTCCTCATTTTTCGTTTCCTTTTGTTTTTCTTTCTTGCTTTTTTCTCTTTTCGACGTAATTGCCGACGTCGATCGTTCACGCGATTCGATTGTCGAGCGGATTTTCCGTGGCAGTCTGCAATCACATTCGCGTGATTCGAGGAGAATCAGGAAATTTTGCGGATGCGGATCCGCGCGCGATATGCCGTCAACTCAATTTCCCATGACACTGCTCGCAAGGGGTTTCAAAAAAGAGTATGATGGTGGTCACCTTCGGAACTTGTCCAACTTTTCCAAAATAAAAGACGCCGAAATCAAATGCAACTGATCCAGGGATTTCGAAAGAAGGCTTTCCAAGAACAAAAACATCGATTACTTCCTGAGATAGTTTTCTATTCGGAGTCTATAATGCGTTGGAACGTCGTAAGTAACCCTCTACTGATCCCGAAACGCGTCATCCACTTGCTTGCGTGCCGGTGACACGGTCGCACGGTAACTACCTCTAAACATCGACTTTCAACGCACAAAAGAGGAGCGTGATTCGACTACCAAGAATCGATCGGTGTGACTAAGAGATTGGCAACGCGGAGCTTGACGCGCGCGAGAGATACCTCGCGCCACGCTCTTACCTGAACAAGCCGTGCGACGTGCTAGGTTGGATCTTCCCGTTTCCATTGCTCACCGGCACGGTCGGAGGTTGCGGCTCACTCGCCGATCTCTGCACCAACGCCGGCGCCCTGCTACCGTTAGCCTGTCTCGTGCCGGCCGCCACTGTGCCGGGCATCATCTCGATGCTGGAGCTCTCCCTCGACGAGTTGAGCGTCTGCTGAAGCAAACTCAAGATCAACCTGATCTCACCGGTCATCGAGTGTTCCAACGAGGACACCTGTCGCGACAATTGATCGATCCTGGCGTTGATCTCCTCCACCGGCCGGCCCGGGCCGCTCTGAAAGTCGCCTGGAAGCGCAAAAGCGTGTTCACTTGGCGACTTGACTCGGAATTCGACCTGACTGAGAGAGACTCGATGGCTAAGCGCATACATCACACCTCACGACTAACAGGGAGACATATATAGCAGCGATTGATGTTATTATACGGATACGATTGATGCATATGATGAAGTTTATTACAAGAGAGATGATGGAATTCTATCTTTTAAAACGGACGGCTGACGTACGTGAGTGAGAGTACGGAGTGCGTATGGTGCGTTAGGTCGCGTGTAAATTACCGTGATCAAGGCAATGGACCCCTACCATGGGAATGAGGATGCTGCGGGGGCGATGGTGTAGTGTAGTGGCTTGACGTTGTTGAAGTGGGTTGGACCACGTTTTGACTGAGGCAACTCTCACCAGCGGCGGAACTCCGGCGCGCCGGTTTCGTCAGCGGCGTGGTCACTAAGTTAAACGTATTGGCCACCAGTGAATTACCACGTACGGGTGAAATAAGAAAAAAAAATAAGACGATAGACTACTTGTCACACGCACAATACAAACAATATACATCGTGCTATGATAGAATCTCTATTATGGCGTGTCGTGCGCCGCGATCAAAGGGGATCTTCCCAAAGCGAATCGACAGTCATACTCTCTTTCTCTTTCTTTCTATCTCTCTTTTTCTCTCTTGCTCTTCGGATTCTCTTGGCGAGCTTGTAGTGGATCTTCACAGGTCGGGACTTAAGTGCAATCGGGCTGATCTACTTTCCTTTCGATCGAGTTAATATATATATACCGGGGCTACTTACTTTGTTTGGCGAGATAATCGTGGCTGGTGAGCGGCTGCAGGTGAATCTTGTGCTGACGTAGATCCGGTATACTGCGCTTGAGATGGGTTAGCATGCCTGAACAACCAGGTTTCAAGGTGTTATCGAATTTGGGACTCAAACGAAAAGCGATACGCAGAACTTAGGGGGAAGAGGGAGGCTAGAGATAGGAGAGAACGGGGGAGTCGCATAACTGATAAAAAACAAAAATTGATCGAGATAATCGGTAATGTAATGAGAGAGAGTTACATCTAGCTGGAAGCAAAATACGTTTTAGAAAGCTTACGAGAGAGGGATGACAACGCTTTTGGATGTCGTTGGTGAGCGTATTTAAATAATATCGATATTCTAATGTATCTATGACCTCGTATCGCGCATCTAGCGCTAAAAGTCATTAGCGCTTAGCGCATTTAGCGCTAAACGTCATGGTCATATAATTCGTTCAGTATGTGTGATCCTTGTGTTAGAAAAGCAAAATTCAGAATCGAGAGCGGACTCATTTAGCGCTAAATATGGCACGTCAGTTGCGAGCGAAAATGTTTTCCAAGTCTTTACAGGGGAGCCTTGCTATTAGTTAACGACGGACAGATCGAAAAAACATCCGAGATGAAAATCTGACCGATCATATTGCGAAAAGGAGATACTCTATTTTATGGGGGAGGGAGATCTATCGTGCAAAGAACAACATTCCTCAAACAGAAGATTAGGAACAAACACGAGAGATATAGAAACGTCGTTTCCTCGATACGACGAAATCGGACAAAATATAACAGTCACTCACCGGTTATCGAGTTCAAGGTCGAGCTTCGCTGCTTAGGTTCGTCGAAATCCAAATTCAATGGCGTCACATCCTGGCCGGCTTTGTCTGTACTGAACTCTAAGATGCCATGGCCGCTGCCTTTATTACTGTAACAAGCGAAAGTGAAACTATAAAGCTGAGAGAGTTCATAGAAAATAGCTCATGTTTTTAACAGGTTTCCTATATTGAGATTTCCTATATCAAATAGCAGGTAGATAGATATAATGATAAAATAGATTAAACATAATAAAACAAGATAAATATGATAAATAAAGAAAATAATCTTACTAATCGTCTTGGTCATCTTGTAAGGAATCTTGACCTGTGGGAATAAGACTTGTGCCAGGACCACTGAGTCCTCGACGGTATCTTGGTGGACGGAAAGCGTACCTCCTCGCCTCGATTTCGACGTCCGTCGGAGTGCTGACAGGAAACCTTGCTGACGTTGGATCGACACCAGCCTGCTCCTCCTGATACAAAGCGAGATAGCGGAATGCAACATTTTTTATCATGGCAACATACTTTTTTCTTTCTCGTTTATAGCAATATTTTTTATTATCATTTTTTATTCCCTTTTTCTGCTTTATCTTTCTTCTATTTCTGCTTAATTTCTTTTATTTTTATTATTTGTAAACCAAAGGACGTTTACTTGTGTATTTGATTAAATAAATAAATCATCAGATTGAGAAATTTCCGCGCGAGAGTAAACGAGGGTGGAAAGCTTACGTCTCGCATGTTGAAGGTGATCTCGAGATTCTGGCTGAAGTGGCTGTAGAATTCAGGATAAAGTGCCAAAACGTCGAGCAGGTCGTCTCTGTGGATTTTGTGGAGATCGCAGTAAGTCAGCGCGCGCACGTTACAGGACGATTTTCCGACTGTCGAATGAATGCACGGATTCTCGCCGAATATGTCGTCTTTGCCCAGAATGGCCATCACAATGTCGTCCTTCAGGATCTCGATGCTCCCGCGGGATATAAAATACAGGCAGGTCAGCACGTCCCCGCGATGGACTAAAGTATCACCCGGTGGCGCGTGCGTCGTCTTAAACTTTAAGGATAATGCCCTGTTTCGCAAAAAGAAAAGGAGATTTTTCGTTTTCGCCTGATCGTTCGATCAATCCGTCGTTTCTCGTCGACGTCAATTTTACGGGGATGACTGGACACAATGATTACCTTAAACAGCCTGGACTAGCCCCCTCAAAGGCTCTGCAATTGCTTAAAAGATTCCTATTGAGATGAAGACAGATGTCGGCCTGAAGGCACTCAGGGAACCCTTTGAGAACACTATTCATGTCGATTCCGTTCGTATACGTCCACGCGTGTTGAAAATACTCCTCCAGTCGCTGGCGGAGCGGGTTCGGTATCTGATGGAACCTTATGAACTCCCTAACCCTGAGCATCTGCGTGTGATACCGGGCTGTGCCGCTGTACAGTCTCTGGATGATCGCCGAGACGTTACCGAAGATGCTGGCATACATTAGAGCTGAAATCATCGTGGTCGTGAAGTGAACCGTGCATTCACAATCCGATGACGGATTAAGATATCACTTGGCGGCCCCAGCAAATTATTTTCGAGCCACCAGTCGAGATTATTAAAACATACCGGAAGATTGAAAAGGTTTTAAACAGCGATAAAACTTTCACTGATTACTGATTAATTGTTTTGCCTCGTATCTCGATCTATATCTTTGATAATTCTTATTTCTAATGAGAATTCTAACTGTAATAAAAATTCAGAATTCTAAATGTTCTAGTATTTTCTAAATTCTAATAAAAGAATGTTTTAATATCGACGTCCATTAATATCTACGTCACTACGATACGATTCGTCGACGTCACTCACATCCGATCAACATGACGATTATTGTGAAAATCTTCTCGGCGTCGGTATTGGGCGCCACGTTCCCGAAGCCCACGGACGTCAGACTGCTGAAGGTGAAATAAAGAGCTGTGATGTAGCGGCTCTGGAAAAGTTACACCGTTACGGAAGGAATGGAAGGTCGTACGCGTGTCGCTAATGTGCGATCTCAAATAGAGCGTACTCGAGTGAAGCTCGCGCAGATGGCTTACTTTTATGCTCGGCCCACCGGTGTTATTGTGAAAGTAAAACTGATGCGTGTCGTTGGCCAGAATGTCCAGCCAACCAACCTTGCTCTTTAGGGTCGGTCTCTCAGCGTTTCCTATGGCGTACCTTGAAATTCGAGGTGATGCATTGCATTTACGAGATTACCTTGAGAATTACGGGACGGGGATGTAGTATTCCCTCCGAGCTACAGATTCCTTAACGAACGAATAAATGGTGATGGAAGCCGATCTTCCATAAGATTTTCGCAAAAAGAAGAAAGATCAACTACGAGTTCATCAGAGGAGCTGTAGCTGAAGGAAGGTATTAATGACAGATGTGTAGTCGCGTCCCAATGACAAATGAGTTGAAAATGACTAGAGAAAAGTGAGTTCTGTGGGAACCCGATCACTTACCATATACAAGCCATCCAATGAGCAATAAGGGCGAAGGTGGCCATTAACAGTAACAAAACCGCGGCGCCATACTCGCTGTATCTGTCTATCTTCCTGGCCACCCTGACGAGGCGTAGCAGACGGGCCGTCTTCAAAAGTCCGATCAGAGTTGTCGTCTGAAAGTAATTTGTCATTTTTGCTATTTCCCAAGTCTCTTTGCGAGCCCGCGACGCGTTTTCTCCGCGACTTTCTTTCGGTCTCCACTTTCGTTACACAGAAATTGGCCTCACCTAACGACGTCTTTACGTCGTTAGCGAAGTACAAACAACGCAGAATCCGCTCCGTTCAAATTGCTCGTGCAAAGATGAAACGTGCCTTTTGCAGCAGGAAATGTGTTCGAGCGACGAATAACTCGTGTAACACACCAAACATGAAGCTAACGTGTTGTTCGCGAACCATTACCAATAGCATCGAAGACGCGTGCTAGATTTGTCTTCTTCGAATCTACAGAGGCTCGATCTTCATTTTCGGATATCGCGCGCGCGAGACGCGTTTCATTTTATTTTTATAAAAAATTATTTATCTATATTTACAAAAATTATTTATTTATCCATTTATATATCAAAATTTATCACGTGGTTTTTAATATAGGGTGTGTGAAATCGTCCACTTCTTCGAGCGAGCCTTTATTTTTTATCAGCATGAAACATATGACGAAGGCTCGTCACACCCGTGCGACCAACGACGTTTATCAAAGTGCCTGATCAAACATCGTGTTAAGGCCATTTCCATGTTGGAAGTGTCATTCACGCCGGAAGTCGTCACTCCGGCTGCACGTCAATCGTACGTCGGCCCCGGAATATATCACGATTACGTGCGATGCGGCGGCGTGACATTTCGTTGAGTCCCAAATATCAAAGTTGAAGCCGCCGTCATATCTTCGTCGCGGCGTGCCGTTTCTCGTCGCCAATTTGGAAGCAGACCTATATTCGGGGTGACGGGAGACGACCCGCAGTCAAGAGTGAGGATTAATTCGCGTTTGCGTGCGCCTTGAAAGAGGGATGCTGCGTCGAGGAGGGCAGAACGCAGTGACGACTTCGGCGCATCCTTGTTGCGAAGAGGGCGACAGTGAACTCGACTTAATATCGATTCGAGCTCGCGTCCTTGTTTCTAGATTTGTACAGTTCATCGGCAAATAGAGAGAGAGAGAGAGAGAAAGAAAGAAAGAGAGAGAGAAAGAAAGAGAAAGAGAGAGATACGCGGAAATGCATCGGCATTCGGGATACATCAAATCGCGGACATTTGATGCATCCAATTCCGAAGTGGAAAGTATAATACGGCAGCAATAATGGCGCGTCGGTTTGCAAGCAGTCACCAAAATAAAGAAAAAAAAAGGAAGCAACACGTGGAAATCAATCAATGCGATCAACGTCGAAAAGAAACGGAGTCCCGTGTGTAACGGAGGTACGCATGCTTCCCGTTCGTTCTTACCTGTCAAAAAAATCAGGATGCTCTCCGTCCGAAGAAAAAGAAAAAAAAAGAAAGATAAATAAAAAGACAATCTTCAACATTCGAACAGTAACAGGTACATAAATTCACATCGATCGAACGCTTTCAAACTGAAAGAGGTCGAGCTCGATATTTTAACGGCTATCATGCAAAGTCTATTGTGTTCCAATCGAGAACGATCCAATCGTTGTTCGAATCACCGTCATACATTCCGCGTACACTTCAAAGAGAAATTCTCGATATATTCTGGATCAATAAACGTACAACTTTTTCCTTTTTTCTTTCTTTTTGAACGTACACTCTTTATCGAGACCCGGTTGGACACACGCAAAACTCATTACACGCTTGTGAAAAAGAGATGAAGCGCACAAGCGACAGAAAAACATACACCTTTCGCTTACGTACAACAAATTCTTAGGTACAAAACAACCAAAGGAGCAAGTGTATGAAGAAGTTGATTCACTGCACGCAACTCTAAAAATTCGTCAGTGCAACGGTTGATCTCGTGGAGAGGTCTTCGACTTTGTTAAATTGAAGCGTGATAACATGGTAGGTGATCGCTTTACGAGTAACTGACAATTCTTTCGCGAGAGATACGAAAAAAGCGCGATATTTGCATCATTCACCTGCCCTTTCGATCGAAGAAAAAAATGTTGCCTAAGCACGCAATTGAACACGCGCATATCAGATTTGCCGCTTGGAGAATGTAATAATATTTTTTTCTCCGACCGAGAACGCACAGTCGCGATTTTGTACAGCTTGCAACAAAAGCGTAATGGAAAAGGATACAAAAGAAGCTCGATAAAAAAAACTGTCAGACCAAATAGTATTCGAACAGAATCGAGAGGAGAAATTAGCTGAAGCGTACCGCGGGTTGTTGGCGAAATCGCGACGAGATACTATCAGTCAAAGTGTTTTGACAGTGTTGCTACCCGGTGATATCGATAAGTACGTCCGCCTGTTGTCTCATGTACGTGTATGTATGCATATACGTGTAGGCGTAGTTGATCGATAACCCGTGGAATTTTTTTCGACCATGCCAAGTAGGTTCGTGATTTCATGAGATCGCTTGACGAAGATTTTTTCGATTGTCGCGGTTTTTGAGAATTCATCGAGAATGTAACGTGGGGTCTCTGACGTGAAATGACGATTAATTTAGTAAAATACTATCACACATGTCATAGTTAAGATTAATGATAACTCGAAGTGTAAGTGCATGTGTTGTGGTTTGTCGGTGTGGACTCGAGTGCTTGTCTGTGGTTTTGTAGGAGAATACTCTTAGCTAAATAGTAAGTAAGCATGTTCATCCTGCAACCCCAAACAGAAGATGAGTTGCGCGAGACTCGAGCAGGTAAAGCAACCCCAGGATCGATTTACTTGCTAGAGAGAAGGACAGAAAAAAAAAGAAAAAGAGTCTCGAGAAGCTGGATGCAAGAGGGAGAAACAACGAAGACAAAATGTATAAAAGGTACCTCGCCGCAGAGTTTTGCCGGTGCGCTTCGTACCGACTAGAATAATTGAAATTATCGCAGAGACAATGCGCAAAATCGAGGCTCGATATCTGGTGTGAGGAAGTCATCTAACTAGAAACTAACTGTGGCATTACCTTCACCAGATATCGCGGCAGCGCTCGTGGCGCAAATTGCTTCTGCCGTGCGGTAACCCGACGTTAATTTGCGACATTTTATAATTACGGATCATTCTTATTGCCGGCGGCGATAAAAGCGCGTCTGCGCCAATGCGAGATACCTAAGTTCCACGCTCTGTATAACTAAACATTAGTGCAATTTCTTAAGGAATTTGTAGTACAAAAATTGACATTCATTCGGATATATAATATGAAAATTTGGGAATTTACGCCAGCGCAGTCGTGCGCTCAATCGTCAGCCGCAAAGCACAGATCCAAAGAGAAAGAAAGAAAAAGAGAAAGAGAGAAAGAGAAAAGAGAGCTCGAACGAATATTACACTCTCGTGCACGCGATTTACGCAGATCGACTTTGCAAAATCGCGTGGTGGCATAAAGGTATAAAAAAGGCGCAGAAAATAGTTTCTCAAATGTGTATAACTTTATGCTTCTATGCAGTCCAAATCTTGCATCAACGGGCCGGTTAAAAGCGAGTCATTAGATAGTTTCGTACAAGTAAAATTCAAAGAAACATGCACATCCTTTTACGATCGATCGTTAATAATTTTAGTATATCGCAGATGAGAATAAAGTTGACGACAATCGACTTGACTTCGCCGCGAACTATGATAACCACGCCACTTTGATAACCGCGCGAGAGCCAGGAATCTACTTCGATAGGTTTGCCGTCAACTTTATTCGAATTTTCTCGGCACGTGGGGTTGCAGTGATTGAGTGAGGTGTCTTGTACGTGTGGTGAGATACGTGGAGAGATTTTTCGAACGCTGAGAGGATGGTTCATCTTGCAAGAGAGATTTGTGCGAGAGTATTTAGAATCGCAATGTGTAAAGTGTATTTAAGCGGTTTGAAGAACATGAAAGAAAAAAGAGAGAGACAAAGAGATAGAGAAAGAGAAAGAGAGAGATAGGGAGGGAAAAAAAGAGAGACAGAGAGATAAAGAGAGAATAAAGAGTTAGAGAAATAGAAAGACAGAGAAAGAAGAAAGTTAGTAGAGTAAAAAAACTTGTGATTGCGGTGATGAGTTTAATCGTTTTGGTGTGAAAACGGTGTAGTAGACTGTAATCCGCACTTAATTAATAGTTAAAAAAAGACACGTCAGTGAGAGGATCTCTTGTGTGTATATGTGTCAACTAACCTCGTCCTTGTCCAAGCCGAGCTACGAAAACGTTAAACTGAGGTTAAAATTCGTTTCTTTTATACATCGTGATGATAATTTTATAGTCTTAACTTTCCAGATTGTTATCGTTTCATTCTCTCGCACGAGGTAGCGATGTCGCGAGAGCATAAGCTAAACAGACTCGCATCACTTTGGATAGATTGTCGAGACGGATGTCCTCGCTAATTGCGGACCGACTACTCGGGTAACGTAAATGACACCTCGGTCTTTTCTACCTTCTTTTATTTTTGTTTTCTCGGGAAATGCGACAAATCAAATGTAAATCGCAAGAGAGAGCGGAGTCATTTTACGTTCGACGTTTTCCTTAACGCATACAATGATCTCTCTGTCAGCTTATAGAAATACTCTTATTTCATCGGTCACACTCTGTGGCATATCGCTCCACAGACCGAGGGAGAAACAAATCAAGATCAACTCATGAGAGATAGAGAGAAAGAGAGAGAATCCAAAAGAATTATTTAACGAAACGAATGAACGACGAAAGCTCGACGAAAAAAAAAAAAAACACAGTAGAAGAGAATCTTGACGAGGATCTGATAATAGTCTAATACTTTGACAATCAGAGCAGAAATTTTCACAGCGACAGACTATATTTACTTACATATTTATGAAGAGTGTATGCATATACGTGTGCGTACAGGTACGAGTCGGTCTGAGAGACAAAGGGATTGTTCATTCGTGTCAAGTCACACATGTCTTACTGCGCGCAACAGCACTCAATACTAGATTGACATTAAATGTCGCTCAGGTGCACGGCTCGTATAGCTAATACCGTGCATTACCCCCGTCGTTCGCGCGCTCCTACGTGTGTAAAACTATAGATCGCGGGTTCACATCGCGGCTCGACGACGTACATACGTGTAGCACACGCTCAACATAGTGTAAAATCGTCCCGGATAGCGAGACGCCCGTTGGAACCAGGGACTCTCGCACATCCGTACGTACATTGTGTGCACATTGAAAACGACGACTCGACTAAATCTCGACAAAGAAAAAGAAATCATTCAACACCGAGAAGTGTCGAGAAAATAGGGAGAAACGAACTAAGCACCAGTCCGGTAAAGTCACATCTATGGGCACGTAACTTGGGCTCGGCATGTCATCCTAATCATATTTACCAACTAACACCGACATTCTAGAAAATTCGTTCGACGATCCGGCGTCCGCGGGAGTCACCTCTTGCTGGCCGCAAAATTTTGTCGTCACTGATCAAACGAGAGTACGAGATTCACGCGACACAGATAAGGAAAACTAGAAAAAGTAAGATAATAACAATTTTTCTGTCAACCGGAGTCTACTCGTGTGCATTTCTTTTTCCTCCCAAGTGATTAGATACGCGGACTAACGTAAGACGTGACTCTCGCGAACGCTAAATCTAGCCTTGAAGAAAGGGGAATGCAAAGCGTGCGACGAAACTTACCTCGTCAGTGTCCGAACCGACGAGTAGAAGGTCGAAGGGTATGGCGGCCACCAGGTCGATTATGAACCAACCCTTCAGGTAATGGACGGCTATCTTTCCAGGATGGGACACTACCTCATCGTTGCTGTTGACGAAGGTCGTGCGAAAATTGATGATGATGTCGATTATGAAGGTGACGTCGACTAAAAAACACAAGAAAGGACCTCGTGTATCGGATTCTGGATCCTCAAAACTCAGTATGTTTCGAATTTCCACGTCACGTCAAGAAATTGTACCGCGCGTACGTATCTCTGTGCAATTTATCCATTTCCACGATAGTCAATACAATTGCGTCTTCTGCAATTTCGCTGAAGTTGCAGCCCGACCTTCGGAATAACGGAGGGAGATAGTATCTCTTAGGCCTGTCTGTGTACGGACATTTCTCCGATTTCTTCTTCATTCGTTCTATTCTCGCGCTATTGTCTCTTTATTCGTTCTATTGTTTCAGACCATCGTGACATATATTATCCATGTCAGCTATGTCGTATGAAACGTTACACGACGGTGTTCAGGCGTCGATATCAAATTTAAAACCGAGTGCTCCGTGTGTGAGCTTTTATCAAAACGTTAAACAATCGCGCTTCTCACGCGATGCTCCGTTTTCCTTTCCGGGGATAAAGGACTGACAAACTGAGCCGCGATTAAAATTAAACGACGTCTGAAGCGTTACTATTATTTTTCATTTCAGTCGTATTTGTAGCTAGTAAGTTTGTAAGAGTGGCAGTGACTCACCTATGAAGTCTATGATGACGATGGGGTCGTCACTATACTTCTTGTTCTTCCTGCTATTGTAATCCGGGTCCGACAGAACGAAGGCGGCGACATACGGTGTGAATATGGCGGTGTACATCACAAGCAGCAATATAATCCAGTCCCAGACTGCCTTGAACGGCGAGTAGTGTAATATGGTCCACTTGTGGATTCTGGGAGATTGTAATTTGTACTCTGGGAGGACGTCTGCTCCGAGGGACAGTACCTACGACACATTAGATTGAAATTATGAGTCGCGAGGTTCTCGACGACCATTTCTCCCCCTGAGGAGCCGAAAGGATGCGAAAATCTGTCACACGGAATAGAAATCTGTTTTACGATTGGATTTTGAAAGTAGAACGAGGAATCCCCCAGCGAAGTCGCGCTCTATAAATTCAACACAATCCGCGTGGTGGACATATCCTACACGTGTGAAGTACATGTCGCACTCGAGAGGCTAAAAACAGAAAATAGTTTTCCATCGGTCACGAGCCACGGTTTCGCAAACATTGTCAAAACACCCTTACGATGCAGCGACGCGCTTAACGTCGTTCGCGCCAAAGTACATCGTGGTGATAAACACTCATGGAGTGCCGGGTTTCATGCTCAAACTTCTAAGGGGTTACATCCCCTACGCAGCAAGAGAGAGAGAATAACAACAGAAGTGGCTGTGGGCGGGAATATTTGCTGACCTGTCTAGCACAGAAGCGTTTCGAGTTACTTATTGGACTCTCTGCCATTTAAGACGCGCAGGAATCAAGCAATCAGGCGAAGAAGAAGATGCGAACCGACGATGACAGGGTGGGACGACAACTCCGGCAGAATCTCCGTAAGCTCCACTTCGCGTGGCGAAATTTCCTGCGCATCCGTCTCGTCAAACCGTCGACTGATCCACGAGAGTCGACGAGAGAAAGCGTGTCCCTCGAGTCACAACATGATACCCCGCGTTCCCGGGAACGTCGCGTCTTCAATTCCACGCCGGTGAATTCTCAACCACCGGGGACTGCTGTCGTCCGCTTTTCCCCGCTCTCTATTCACTGTTCCCGAATCACGCAAGGGATTACATCGACAAGTACTCGGGAACGAGTTTAAACACCTGCTCGTGCTCGAGAGGCGACTCAAGCGCTTAGTCTCTGCTGTAATCCGCCGCAATTCCTCCAGAGCGTCGCACTCGACGTCTCTGCCATAATAACGAACGTAATAGCTGCATTCAAGGTTCTAAACGCGCGCGCGCGCGTTTGCCGACGAAAAGGCGATGACTGAATGGCGGGAACCACGCGAGAAACTGGTCACGACGAATGGTTACCCGTCGGGTTCGCGCCGCCAAGTGTAAACACCGTAAACGGCAACAGCTCTATCGATCACTGGATGGAAGTTTCGAGCGCGAGCCCCTCGCGGGTCCCACGCGTTCTCGGCTGGGATAGGTCGACAGCCTGGGACACTCCAGCGAGGCGAGTGATATTTCGAGTTATCGATCGCGGTTGCGCCTCCGCGAACGCGGCACTCGTGGCTCCGAAACGGAAACGTTTACAGTTTGTTTACAGCGGCTCCAGCGACGTGGGAAGAACCGGAAGAGTGCCGGCCGAGCGCTAGCTTAACACTGATGCAATGCGGCCCGACGAAGGGAGGCGTTCGTTCGATTGGCTCGGTGCTGCCCGACGTGCGAGAACGTGTTGGTTACAGAGTAACACCGTCACACCCTTAGCCAGCATGTTTCGTTCGGTCTGGAAGAGTCGGCCGCAAAGTAAGCCCTATCACGGCGAAAGTCATCAGTCGCTTGTTCGCGAATCAGCCTGACGGCAGTAGCAGAAGAGGAGCAAGAGGAGAAAAGGACAGAGAGAAGTAAGAGCGGGAAGTCAATAGCGATAAACCGAGCTGAAGAGGCTCGCAACGCAAACTGACGATCTTGTCTGGGAAAAGTCGCACCGTTCGCTCCCCCTTTCTCTTCATCCCGGTGTTGTCGATTTATTATTATCGACCCCTCGCCGATAAGAGACGCTGCTTAACGGAACAAAATAGAACATGAGACGTGGCGCCAGAAGCGCTCGCGAACGACGTTGTTGTGCGGTTTTATATTCGCGTTATATTGATGCTTCATGTTGGGATAATGACGCTCCTTTATATTCGCGCAAAATGAATTTCCACTGTCTTCGAAACGTTATTGTTCTGCCCTGAATTTTCCGATTTTTCTGAAATTTTTACCTATTAAAAAAATCTATGTATCGTTCAATTTCTTTCTCAACGTTTGACATTTCCCTAAATATTTCGAACTGTGAGATTCCGTTAATGAACATTTAATTATTAATTTTTTAGCGGACAAAATTTAAGGTGATGATTGTACTTGTTTCCGTTCGAACGTTTGTATAACAGGTATGGCGCCATGCTTGACGACGTGTTTGATAAGGGAATCAAGGCAAGCCGAGTTTCTCTTCCTTAGCTTCTTTATTGATTTTTTATTATCAGCTCCCATCTGGTGGAAAGAGTGTAGTTGAACGGGTCAGAGGAGGCGAGGCAGAAACTCGCCGGCTGCTCGCTCGTCGGAGACAGCCGAGAAAATGCAAATTCAGGCGGATCATGTTTTATTCATGGATATGTCGCCAGGTGAGAAGGGATCGAGGACGACATCGGAGACCTCGTTCCAATGATCCAAAGTTTTCGTAAACGAGGATAGTGCGCGTCCTTTGTGAATCACGGGAAATTCCCGACGGGGAAGAATACATTTTGGACACGCCCAAGGAAGTAGCTCTCGTGAGAAGAGGGGAAAAAGAAGTATGATTCAATCGACGACATTATTGAGATTAATGAATGCATTGTACGAACGACGTCGCGTCACTTTTCCCTCGAAAAGCCCCGAAATGTTTACAGTTATATTATCTTCACCTTCCTCTTCCCTCACAATTTGCACAACTGTCACTCCAGTGTATTAGAATAAATTAATAAATCAAAAGATGGGAAAAGATTTTCTGGATCATTTCTGAAGCGAGAATTACAACTCGATGATGTAAAAGCAGAGCATCACTCGTGTAGACATATTTAGCAGCAGGGAGTTCCTTATCGATCTAAGGCGCTCCACCTGTTTAACCGAGACGAATTGATCGAGCAAGCAAAGGGGTTGCAGAGGTTAATGTTACTTGGTAGGCTGAGCGGGGAGGCAATTACCACGCGCCGCGACCCGGAATTATTGAATAGTTACCGCGTTATATGCGCAATCATTATCCATCAGCGTTCAACGAACCGTAGAAAATAGCGTGGAGGTAAGCCCCGCGAAAAATATTACGAGGGCAACGCGCGGCGCAGAATTGCACAGCTGCAGCTTCGGAATCTTATCAATCTATCTATTCCATTTCATAGAAAGGATTTTTACGAAAAACATACACACACACACGCACTTGATGTGGAACTCAACTCAAATCTCCAAAATTACGTCGTATCGGCACGATCGCCGAAACGTGCGATGATAAAATATGTGAACTCTTCGTCGCAACATAGCTTATGATACTACTGGCGATTCACGGCTACGCGATCTTTTCGATAAATTGTGACTCTCCCGGACTTCATATTTGCAGATTCACGAAGCTGTTACCTGTGTAAATATCTACTCGATGTATGCAAGTGAAATATATATGTGTGTATCCGCGGCGCTTCTCTTCTGCAATGATAAGAGAGCTTTTAAAGCGGCGAGTTGAATAGCGGAAAGCTCGCGGATACTCCTGGCGTCATATAAACTAGAACGATCTCGCTCGCTCGCGCGGCTGTACCTCACGGGATATAAGTGGTAAATTTGGCGGGTGGCGGTAAAATTGGAAATGCAAGCGCTACATTTCAAATCGATCTCTCGAGCGCCGGAAATAAATCCACGATTGTACGGACCTAATTTTAAACTCGGCCTTTCGCCCGAACTGACTCTGATCTTTCTTCGTGATTCATCTGAAACTGAACTGAATCACGTTTATATCCCGAGCTGTCTCCCAATTAAACGATTGATCCATCGCGAGCGCGTTCGACAGGGTCCCTTGCGAGCTTTATCAATGCCCCAATCCTCCCCGACCGACACGCGTCCCTAAATGTCACCTGAGAATGAGGTCGCGTCAATGTAGAGTGCGTTCGTTCATAATCCGTTTTAACGGGCAGAAAGCTCTCGAGTTCGAGGTACGTTCTAGTGCGTACATGACCTCGCCGTGCACAATAGGTCAGCCTGAAAGCGGCCACCCTCCGGATTCACACCATGGGCCACATAATATTGCGATCGATACCGCGCGCGGAATGTGTACGCGCTATTCCGCTGCAAATTGAACGAGCACGCTCGCGTTATAATGACATAATCATAACGCTAATAACACGAATAAGCAGCGCGAATTGATGAAGGAACCGCGAGATGCGAAGGGAATTCAGTTACACGTCGTAACGACCAATTTGACGAGCCGCGTAAGTATTACGTATCATCAATAATTACATGATTGTTACGATACTTTAACCGCGACGGTCGATAATCGTAAGCCGCGAGGTTGTACTAACGCTGCAAGTAATTACTTTGACGACGTCTAATTTTGGCGGGGTTGGGCGAGCTGAGAAAATTAATAAAACGAGATTCGTGTAACGCGATACGTCTTGCCAGTCATGCATCGGTGCTGATAATAAAATTATATTTATAGCTACGTAGGATAAAATCGCATTGGAGGCAATTCTGTATGCCATTCACTTATTTTATCATTAAAAGTAGTACTGTAATCAGCAATACAAACATCGATTACCGTCGACAGGGTCGAGCCGAACTTCTGCTTCTTTCCCTTCATAAAATACGAACGCATCATTGTTCCCGATACTCTCACGAGAAATTCCAGTGTCATTCTCAACCGTGACGAAACCTCGCTCGGACGCTACCACTGACGATATATTCGGGTGCTTTTAGCATTCGCGCGGAAGGAACAAACAACGTCGCGAGAACCACCTGTTTTTCTATCCCGTTTTTCTAGATTCCGCTCACGTCGGTGCCATGGACTAATTCTACACGTCTCTCCGCGATACGTAGATCACGGAAACAAAACACATGTTAGGAACCAGGTCGCAGGCCGCGAGAATCCTTCGAATTTGTGAGAATGCAAGGTTGAAAGTCACTGCCAGCAAGCAGCAAACATTGCACGATGGGTCGACGGGACAGATCCTCGACAGACTGTTCACGTCTGGCTTATATCTTGGAAGGGAAAATACGCAGGATAGTCCACACAC